AAACACAATCATTGATTAAAGTTAATTGTTTTCCTTCAGAAATATCATTCTTTTTATTGATCTCCTTAAACTTGTCTAGGTTAGTGGACAATCAAACAACAGTTGCAAGTGTGGCTTAGGCCAATTCTTTTCAGTACAATTAAACAGATTTTACCTAATTTGAAAGGTATTAACCTTGATTGGTTGGATAATTTCCTTTTGGTATCTTATTATCTTAGTCTTAAGTCAGTTGGTACATATTTATTTGAATAATATTGGGTACTGTATATTTGCATATTTGTTTGAGATTGATCAGGTAGACTTACTAAATACATTAGGGTATTGATGTTACGGCATCAGACATGAAAATTGGGTTAGGTAAAGTTTAACTAGACTCTGCCTTACTACCATAGCAACCACCAGAAGAGTTTTTCTCTCCGTTGTAAACTCTTATGAGAGATCTCCAAACGGAGTGGCGCCCCCTAAACCGAGCTAGTACCAATAGACCCGGTTGCTATAGAAGTAAAAAGGTTAAAAGGAAGATATTTGTGAGTGAACCCGGCCCACCTCCCTGAGCAAAGCCCGGCACAGCAGTTTGTGAGGCTGCACAAAAACCTGAGGGTAGGAGACCTCCTGGAAAGCCCAAGCTGAGGTGGAGAGATCAAGTGAGAAGAGATCTGAGAAGAATGGGAAGAAGGGAGGATGAAGCAGTGGATCGTGCAGTCTGGAGGCAGTGTGTACCAATACCCACGGCAGTAAGTAAGTAAATAGCTAAAACCCTGTGATGTACTAACAGTTTTGTAGGTCTATATCTGATTTTTGTGTGTTGGGCTGAACTGCTTATCATAAAAACATTATTTTTTACCCATTTTGGTATCCTGAATTTCTTCTTCAAAGTAATAAAAAAAATAGATAGTGTCATTTAAGTGGAAAAACATGTAAAAGTTTAATTAATGGAATAAAAAGATAGTAAGTGGTGCGGATTTGAACCAGGGACCCACCACATGAGAAGCGAAAACTCTACCTCTGAGCTACGCCCTGCCATTGCATCTTGGCCATGTTTTACTATACTTGAAAACCTTATTCCCCATTGCTTGTAACAGTGTTGCAATTATTTGTTACATCAATAAACGTTTAGGCTTATTATTCATGGTTTGTAAACTCAAAATTAGAACATCACCAAACGGGTTTTAACCCAAATATTCTTATACATTCGAATATTTGAAAACATAGGTTAAGGTACTTGAAAATGTTCCTAACAAAATGTCCTTAGGCGATTTAATTACATTCATAATTTGAGCCTTCTTTTCTTTATTTTATACGTCAGAATAAAAAAAGACTATAAAAATCACAGCGAATGCGGCAGCAACAGATCAACTTCCAACCAACTGTTAAGCGCCGCAACTAGGCCTACAACCGGCTACTACAATGACCGTGTTTGTTTGCGGCAACGCTGGCGGCGGGCTCATTGATGAGCATAATAGCGGTTTGATAAATAATATGTGATTGTTTTACTTATATTTCTATATAGTTATGGATTAAAAGAAGACACTGCGTTTCTACAGCCATTTACTTTTAGTATCAAATGAAAAAAATTAAAACCCTTTATTAAGCGCCAGAAAACCCGTGATTGAGGTTAGAAATTAGTGTTGAGAGTTCACTTGTAAAGTTGGTTAAGTGACTAGTAAAATACAGTAGTATTTACTAACGGTATAAAAACGTTTAAGAAACAGAAATTAGTAGGACAGGTAAATAAGGGACTAGTATTTACTAGACTAGTATTTTCATGAAACAGGGCCCAGAGGCTACTAAAGTTGCCATGGTAACGAATCAACTAATCATAGCCTATTAAAGTTGTCATGGTTACTAATTACTCAATCACAAGGTCTACTGTTGCAACAAAGCCCAGTAGTAGACAATGTGAAAGGATTATTACACATACAGTATTGTCAGTGCAAGCGGATAGCTCGACCTTAAAGCTATCGATCAATATTTCTCTATTATGCTTCCATTTTGTTTGTGTCAAATGAACTGCCATGTTTCAAAATCATAATGTGGGAGAGCCTACAGCCACTGCATACAAATAATAGACAGAAATAGTTGAATACACAATACACTATGCATTTCAACACATTAGACTAAAGAAACACAATTTATAAAATTGTCTGTGTATTTTTCTTGAATAATAAGGTTAGCAAACAATTTTAGAAGCACCTACTAATCACGGTTGATCCGCCCCCGTTTAATCGAAGTTCTACTGTATTATCCTTCAAAATGTTTTCCTGAAGGTCGTGCCAGATTATCAAGAGTGACAGATTGTAGGATGCCGGATCAGAGGTAGTTTACTGTACTTTATATTTAGAACAAATGTATGATTTAATCATTACTGGAGGTGTCGTATTGAGTCTAAAATGAAAATGACACAGAGTTTAAAAAAATTTAATACCAGAACTACAGCCCGCCCTCGCTAGTCCGACGCTTTGAAATCCGACGTACTCGGTAATCCGACGCGCCGTCAGGCGCCGCTACGGGAGCAAAAATAAGCATGCAGTGACATGAAACACTGTGACTCACGTCTCGTTGCCGACGGAGCCCTTTCGTTCAGTGTTCAGTTGACTTTCGAGACGTGCAGTTCACTTTTCCGTTGCAGTCGTACCTTTGTTAGTAAGTGCAAGTGTTCGTGTACAGTACAGTACAGTAGTTGTGTGAAATGGCTAGTACAAGTGGTGTTAAATGGAAACACAAAACTTTAACAATATCGGAGAAGTGGGAGATTATTAAAAGAATAGATAGCGGTGAAACGCCGACTGCAGTAGCGAAATGTTATGACATCGGACGGCCTGTGATCTATGATGTAATGAAGAAGAGAGAAAAAATTGAAGGGTTTATGAAGTCTGTTGAAGACGACGCTTTAAACAGGAAAACACTGAGAACAAGCGAGTTTCCTGAGGTGGAAGAAGCACTGTTCATTTGGTTTAAACAACAACGCACACTGAATGCTCCTATTTCCGGAGACATACTTAAACAAAAAGCGCAATATTTCTACACAGAAATAACAAAGAAGGATGATTTTCGAGCTAGTCATGGATGGTTCGAAAACTTCAAAAAACGCCATGGTATACGGTTTATGAAGATGAGTGGTGAAAAGGTATCTGCTGACAAGTCTGAGATTGATGCGTTCATTGAAATGTTGGACAAAAAAATTACTGAGCTTGGTTTAGTTCCCGAGCAACTGTACAACGCCGATGAAACCGGGTTGAATTGGCGACAGCTCCCGGCAGAAACATTTGTAAGTGATGAGGAAAAAAAAGTGTCTGGAAGGAAATTGCAAAAAGAACGATTCACGCTTATGGTGTGTGCTAATGCATCAGGCACTCATGCTTTAAAACTGCTTGTTGTAGGAAAATCAAAAAACCCTCGAGCATTCAAAAATGTCAAGGTTGAATCTCTGCCAGTAACTTACAAGTCACAAAGTCGCGCTTGGGTCACAAAAGAAGTTTTTCATGACTGGTACACTAACAGCTTCGTTCCACAAGTTAGGGCTGAATTAAAGAAGAACAAGTTACCAATGAAAGATCTTCTTTTACTGGATAATGCGCCAGGACATCCTGATGCTGATGAATTGAAAATCAAAACTGCTGATGGCTACATTGAAGCTATGTACCTACCAAAAAATACCACAGCTTTAATCCAGCCCATGGATCAAAATGTGATAAAAACTCTCAAAGCTCACTACAAAAAGCGCATTCTTATGGATGTTGTCAGTCAACCTGATGCTGATATTGCAGCGATTTTGAAAGCTTTCAACATTAAGGACGCCATTTTGAATGTTGCATATGCTTGGCAACAAGTAAAAAGCACAACTTTGATCAAATCTTGGAAAAATGTATGGCCTAACAATCCATGTCTTACAACATGTAATCCTACATCCAGCAGCGGCCCAGAACCCGTTTTGGAGGCTACATTGGAACTTTGTAACGAAGTGCAACTTGCCCCCGCATCAGTTGAAGAGCTTAGGACATGGATCATGGAGGACAACCTTGATGCTGACGTGACAGACGCAGATATAATCCAAGAAGTTACAGCAGCTGATGACGACGTGATCGAGGACGCAGCGCCAGAAAAAACCTTCACCGTCAGCTGTGATGACGCTGTATCGGCTGCTAATACTTTGTTACGTTGGTGCCAAGAGAGAGATGTGGACATGACAAAAGTTTTAGTTTTAAAAGGATTGCAAGAAGCAGCAATGATGGACTGTGTACAAAAAAAGAAGCAGAAGTCAATCACAGACTTTTTTAACAACTAAATACCGTGCTGAAACACGTATGTATTAATTTTACAGGGGCCTACTTTTTTAATGAATTGTGTACTGTAGGCCTACTTTTATGCGTATTTTTTGGGATGTACAGTACTGTTTGTAAATACTGTAAAATAAGTTTAGCTACATAAATTAAAATTGTGTTTACTTTATTCTGTGTTTTTAATTCTTCCCAAGAATTTAATAGTGATTAATATATTGTTTAAAATGATAGTTATATCTTTTTGGCAATCAAATGCATTACAGAATAGCCATTTTCGATAATCCGACGTTTTTGAAAATCCGACACTGCGTCAGTCCCGTACCTGTCGGACTAGCGAGGGCGGGCTGTACAAGGTTCACAATAATACATTTGCTAAGGTAATATCAGGAATGGTCAGCTGGGTGGAGATAACACATGTGTATTTGGCCTATGTCGAAGGGACTAGTAGAGTGAGAAAATGCAGGAAACCAGTACTTACTTGCCAAACAAATCTTGACTATCAATAAACAAGAACGTTAGAATCACAATTTCACAGTAAAATTGCAGGAGATTAATTATTAAGGTAACTATTTGTTAAAAAACACAAGAGAATAAAAAGGCAAATTATTAAAATAGTTAATTGTTGATGGGACAAAAATCTATTGAAAACAAAATCAAACCTATATAGATCTAGGTCTAGAGCCTGTCAACTGATTAATAAGAATTGGTTGTGATTGTTACCTTGAGAGTGCGGTTCTTGCTGAGAATCAGTTGTATCTTGGTCCTGCTCCATCGCCTCAGTCTCATCTACAGCTTGTGACGTCTGTCCATCCGCCTCTTCCATCACGGACTCCTGGCTCTCTTCATCTGGAGCTACCGGTATCTCTAGTTTAAATAGTAAAAGAGAAAATTTAATAACCGGATGGTGTGTGAACACAATAACTAACACAGTTATGATTGGAAAAATATGGAGTTATGGTTAAAAATCATTATGAGATGTGATGAAACTTTTACAAACCATTGACATTCCAATTAAACACCTAGATACATCATGGACATAGGTTTATTGTCTACAAACCAAAATTTATTAATAATGGATTCCTGTTACCTTTTTTATGTTAACCTCTGGATTACTTTGAATATATGTGTTGATTCCACTACTTTTAGCCTACTAATAAAAGTCCACATTTTGTATAAGAAAATAGAAAGTAGGTTTTTATTAAATCACAATCTGTAAGTAAACATAAAAAATTCGACAAGTAAACAAACTAATAATTTGAACAAATGTTAGAAATAAAATGTAAATAAAACATATGTTAAAACCTCTTCCTCTATTTACTGTGCTACGGCACTTTACGAGGAATCAGCTGATCAACATGTCTTTAATTATTCGCCCATCTTCCAGCTGAACTACGTACATTACATGTCCTTGCTTTTTAGTTAACTATATAGCTTAAGTACCACTTGGACAATCCATTGACATATTCCTTTATAGTGGGGTTGTATAGTTGCATATAGTGACAGAATATTTCAGTTCTGGCGGGGAGGCTGCAACTTTAGGTGGTTATAGTATACAAGTTCCTGAACCTAAAACCGCCCAGACCCCAATTTGTAAGGACCTCGGTCATCCGTAGTGACGTCATCAAGATGGCGGCTGTAAAAGGATGCTGGGTCGCCATGAATTGGTTATAACACTCAAATGTCTGAACCGATTTTAATGAAATTTGGCATACAAGTACTTGAATACATTATCTCGGCACAGGTTGTCAATAGTCGAGTTTGATCAAGTCGTTTCAAAATGGCGGCCATTAATAACTAAAATAATAAAAATGTTTCAGTGTTTTGTGTTGAGATCTGCAGCAACCTATTCATTTTCCTTGCAATCACAGGTTGTGATATCGTCTTTGCATTTAATGGAATACACAAAATACCCTCACCACAGCAAACCTACAGATTAAGTGAGTTTCCATTTCCCTGATTTGATTTTCAATTAAATCAGGTCTAATAACATTTGGTTTCATGAGTACCTAGGTTTGCTGCTAGAGGGAGAGTAATAAAGTGAGTTTTTATTGATATATTTTAATAGCTTAGTTTAAAATAAATAAATTAGCCATGTTTCATTAAAATATAATCATAAACAAGCCAACTACAACAGTTTATGTACTCTCCATAATAATAACATGGGAATTTTAAATTTACAATGTTTTGAATTTTCTTCTTAACCAATAACCTTATAAAAACACTTCAATGCACTAGTTATTTGTTTGATTAAGCTCTTTAAAAAAGTTTAGAGAGAAATTAGGGAATTTCATGTTTTGAGGGTCAAACATAATAAAACCCAACTTTTACACCTTAAATCCTCCCAAAAACGCCGTCCCCATGGTCCGACCACGCTGGTTCACAAACTTGTTTGAAGAAACGTAGGTTTACTCGTCTTTACAAAATTTTATTAACATCGGATCATTTTTGCTAACGGACACACACATATACAGTGTGTTCAATAAAGGTAGGGACAAAATTTACGAATTGATTCATTGGATTAAAATAAGAAGGAAATAAGGAATACATTTTTTTTACAAAATTGCTTCATTACCAGATATCCACCATTTTGTATGTTTTTCATTAACATTTTATCCTTTAATAATTTTGACTGAACAATAGAATTGTGGTCAGCAATGGCGGCAAAATGCTTAATATCTCCCATGGTCGTATGGTCATTATCATCGTCTTCTGCGGTCACAGAAATGTTATCATCGGCATCTGCAATTGTGGCAAAGTACTGGACATTTTCCGCAGTTTGTAAACTGAATCGTCGTCTCCTCTTAAACTCTCTTAAAATTCTGGACATTTCCTACGGTCGTGTACATATGACCATCATTTCCCGCTATTACAGAAATATTATCAACGTCATCCGCAATTGCGTGAATTTTTCGATTGTGCGACCTTCACAGACGCATTTTATAATTGCGATTGTAAAAGTTAGGCTCAAGCTTGGTTTTCCAACTACGTGCTTGATATCTGAACCTAGTAGGCCAAGCTAAGCTCGATTTGAAAATCACGTTGTGCGCAAACTTTTAGAAAATACTCAAATTCACACTCAAAGTTCAAATTCTTTATCTATACTATTATATAAAAATCGAATGGTGTCTGTCTGTGTGTGTGTGTGTGTTAATAATAGGTGCAAAAACTACTGAACCAACTGGGCTTAAATTTTACAAAAACTTGTTTAATTGAAACAGCTGATAAGATTCATTAATTCCATTTAAATATGAGTACTCATAAGGTTAACATGGGAAACTCTAGAGCCACTGGGGCGGAGCCCGAGAGTCCGATCAGAATAAAAACATCTTAGTTTTCCTATTTAATGCCTAAAGAATCAGTGTACCAAATTTCAGCCTCCTAGGTAAATGGGAAGTGGGAGAATTAGTGATGAGTGAGTGAGTGAGTGAGTGAGTCAGTCATTGAGGGCTTTGCCTTTTATATATTTAGATAGATAGCTTTCAGTTCACATTTACTTTATTTGATAAATTTTGCCACACCACTGATTAAATTAAACCAAGGAAAATATCATAAAACTAAGCAGTACACAGTGTTCTTTTGTTTCCAAAATCAATGAAATATCTGTTGCTATGTTTACTTAATGGTAAGTGTGAAAATGTAAAGGCAATGGACGATGGAGCTGATTAAAAGAACTGGTTTGTATATTAAATTGTTTGTTGATATTTTTGTAGAGTAGAATCAGAGATACATTGAAACATATACTGTATTTGCTGTTACATTTTTTAGTCCTTGATGCTTTGATAATCATATTAGTTTTGTCTGCTGTCTTTAATGCTAAATTATTTGTTTGACATTTTGTTTAGTACCTATAGATATAGTTTCTTTAATATTTCAAAAGACTGTATTGATAAGGCACAGCAATATTTCTAAAGTTTATAACAGCTGACTAAGTTTTGCTAATGATTTATTGTGAGTGAAGAAACTGAAAATGGAAGGATTTGTGATTTAATATAAAGAATAGTGAAATAAAAAAAATGTACATTTAAATTTAATAATTAGTAGTGTAACTTCAAAAATGAAATATAACCCTAGCGCCGGTAAACGCCGGATATACGGCGCGAACGGCCGCGGCCGAAATGGCAACGCCGGATATACGGCACCAATGCAGGCGTCAAATGTTTATGAATTTTTTTGGCCGAAAATCCGTTAAAAACACCTCAAAACTCATATCGAACGAAAATTCAGGAGTTATAGTACTTATTTACAATACTTTTAAAATGTTTATACCTCTTTGGACTGATTTGAACTGTATGTAAAAGATCGCAATCGCTTGTTATTGTTTTCGTTGTCTGCCGCTGCCGCTATAAACAGTAAACAGTGTCGATTGGCAACGTTTGGATGTGATTTTGTTTATTTTTATGTGTTTATTAGTGTTATTATTTGTAGTAAGTATTTAAATAAGGTGAATTAACATGTTAGTGGGTAATATCATAGACTAAGCAACACAAGTAGACTCCTCATCCCATTGTAAATTTTGAAGCTTGTTTTTTGCGTCTAGTTCATGTACGTCCACACTAATCGCTAACGTAGACAACATTTTGTTTCTATTTTTTTAGGGTTATTTTCATGATTTGTGCTTTACTATTTGGTTATATAACTAGGAGACCAGTTATTGTTTATGATTATATCGTTTTATTAGGTTAAACGAGGTTTTAAATGACTGCAATAACAAGAAACAAATTGTAAACAAAACATAACCTCTATAGTTGGACGTACAGAACTAACAATAAAATTGGCTTCAGCTGTTCCATTAGGATGACTAATCTACTAAGGGAGTATGTTTTATCTATGGTAATATGCACTATTTTTGAATATGGAAAAGAACTTAAGAGATCGTTCAAGTGAATTGCGTGAACTGATTGAAGGGCCTATGTCCAGCATTGATGATGATGATGACAGTAGTTCTGATTTAGAAGTTGACAATGATACTTATGACAGTAGTGGTAGTTTAACTGATTTTTCATCAGGAAGTGAAGATGATTACATTCCTGACACTGATGATATTAATCAGTGGAGGAGTGAACATGACACTGACTTTGGCCCCCCACCAAACAACATTGCTGCTAGGCGGGGGTACGATCAGCATAATAATAGGGCTATCAAACAAAATACACAAAATAAGCTATATAAACTATACATTTTTGGAATCAGCACAAAATATACTACAACTTTACAATTTACCTTATGATGATAAGTCTTACATGCACTTAGCTACACGACGGAATATAAAAACATTTTATAAAAAAATTAATAACGCCTAAAATTCGGAAAAACTAAAACAAAAATTATTGTGATAACCATGTAAACCACCTATATTATTTTTCTTTGTCTTATTCTAAACAAAATGATATATAATAATCCATATTTATGTTGCTATTTCTAATTTTTATGATGGTTTAAAAATGATATTACATAATCAATAATATCCCTATGCCAGTACAGCGTTACACTAGTGCCAGCTCTAGGGTTAAAATGTCAATAATAAATAAAAAGATAACTAAGGGAGATGAAATGGTGGTATCCACTACTTACCAGATTGAGAAGTCATAACTTAAATGTTTCTAAAGGCCATAAAAGTTGAATTTTGTTTCTAAAAGCGTTGGCGGATGTGTAACTATTATATGCAACAGATGTAAAGATTAAAGTGTTTCTATTTTGTGTCCTCTTCCTGTTGCAAAGCACGGGTACAACAGCTAGTTGACTTATAAAACTAATATGAAATATTTTTCACAAACAACCTCATTTTAATCGGGAGGAATCAGCTGAAGGCATGGTAATTTCAAACACCCCCGCCACAGCAAACTGCGGGAAAAAGTCGGGAATTTCATTTTAGAAATCTGGTAGACTGAAGAAGTGCTGCTTTTTACGATTATTGGTTACGGAGACAATTTAAAAAATTTAAAATTCCTATGTTATTCATATGGAGAATAAAACTTGTTTTTTATCACAATATTTGTAGACGCTTTCTGTAATTGCTCTAAGATTGCATTAAAACAATTTATGATTTTTAGTGTTGTACGAGGGGGTACCCAAAAGTTCCCGGAATAGCTCTGCCGTGGGCGGAGCTTGCGTAGTACAAATTCTCGCTGCTTGGCTCATGTAGCGCTGCTTATAGCCAGTTCAGTGCCGCCTGTTGTGTTGACCTGACGTGTTCTGTCCCCGTGCAGTGCTGTTTTGTGATTTTGTCGTTTTTTACAATGGCAGGCAAGTTAGTTAAAAAGTTAGTTTAAAATGGAACAGCGTGCAGCTGTGAAATTTTGTTTTCTACTTGGCAGAAACGCCGCTGAAACAGTTGAAATGTTGAAGACAGCCTACAAAGACGACGCTATGGGGAAAACCCAAGTGTACGAGTGGTTTTCTCGGTTTAAAATTGGTGACATGTGAATTCAGGACAAACCTCGTTCTGGACGACTATCGACTTCACGAACAGACGAAAATCTTGTGCAAGTGAAAGAAATTGTGCTTGCAGACCGACGACAGACTATCGAGCAAATATCAGAGGCTAGTGGGCTATCATGGAGCTCAATTCAACGGATTTTAACAAAAGATTTAAACATGAAAAGGGTTGCCGCCAAGTTTGTGCCTCGTGCTCTCACTGACTTTCAAAAGGAACGTCGAATTGAAGCCTGTCTTGATTTGAAACAGCAACTTGAACCCGATCCAGATTTTTTGTCCAAAATAATTACAGGTGACGAATCTTGGTGCTATGGGTACGACCCTGAAACCAAACAACAATCCAGCCAATGGAAGACGGCATCATCACCCAGACCAAAAAAATTCCATCAAGTCAGATCGAGTGTCAAAACAATGCTCATTTGTTTTTTTGATGTGAAGGGGATTGTCCATTCAGAATTTGTTCCACCAGGCCAGACAATAAATCAAGTGTTTTATCTTGAAGTCTTAAGAAGACTACGGAACAGCATCTGTCGCAAAAGACCTGATTTGTGGCAAACAGGGGACTGGTTTTTTCACCACGACAACGTGCCTGCGCACACGGCAATCTCTGTCGCCCAGTTTTTGGACAAAAATGGCATGGTTACGCTACCACACGCACCCTACTCACCAGATCTGGCTCCGTGCGACTTCTTTTTATTCCCACGGATGAAAAGGGGCATGAAAGGTTTCCGATTCAAACAGTGGAAACAACGATGGGATAAGTGTATAAAGTGCAATGGAGAGTACTTTGAAGGTGATAAGGTTGTTTCGTAAAAAAAAATAAATATATGTATATTTTAAACAAAATTCCGGTTATTTTTGGGCACCCCCTCGTATTTCTTGCTTCTGCCACCTACCTGGTTGTTGTGGAGCTGTCTCCTCCCCAGGTTCTGTCACCTCCCCAGGTTCTGTCACCTCCGTCTCCCCCTGTTTTTGTTCCTTCTCCTGCTGCTGCTGCTCGGGCTCAGCCTGATGCTCCATTGCCAGATCCACATCTGACAACTCACTAATCTCTGCACAGTTTACATTAACTATTCGTTAATCCAACTATTCTTCAATGAACAATTTTGATTTTAATTAGTCTACTGCCACACAAGACCTCCAAAACAATTAAAACAAATAAAATAGTCCTACTATCCCTATCTAATTAGGAATTAACCATGATCAGAGCTGGGAGAGGAAGGGTTGAAATATGTAGATTTAATGCCTGCTTGAAAATAATGAGAAGAGGAGCACTAAAGAGTATAGCAATAAAGACATCTTAGCAATGGCTCAGGGCTCATTGGCTGAAATAGCTTTGGATGAAAGAAAGAAAGAGGTATTAGGAAATGATTTTTGTACCAATAGAGTCTAACATATCCTGTTAGAATTCAGCTATCACAAGAGTTTTAATCAACTCAAAAAAGATAAACAAAAATGTACAGTAGCTGATTTTTACCAGATATTTTTTAATTTTGAACTAGGCCTACAATGTCATTATAAAGAAAATGGACGTCTTTTCAAAATTTTAATTGAACTGTTTGAATAATTTTTTTTTCATTTTAAATGGTGCTGACAACCTTTTTACCAAATAAACATTTGTGGGCTTTTTCGTGGTATTTTTAAACATAACTCAAAACTTTTTGCCCACAAACATTTTGACAGACATACAGTAGACTCCCTCTTATCTGGGCACCTTTTAACCAGACATCGGTTTAACTGGACTACACTCGGCGGTAATGACATTTCTTGAACCGGACAATTGTTATCAGCACATCGGTTCAACCGGACTAGATCGGCAGGAAGTGGGTGGTACTGAAAGGACTATTCTCGTGGGAAATATTTGGGACCATAGATCACAAGTCTAAATACAAAGCTCTCCTAAATTTTAAGTCAAATACTGTATACAGTATGCATTTAAACGGTCCGTTTTAACAATTTTTTGGGGACTTCGGTTTAACCGGGAAAACCGTTATCCAGACTGGTCTCGGTCCCGAGGAGTCCGGATAAGAGGGAGTCTACTGTACACTAATTATTATGTATATCATTGGTAGTCTCTGATTTCAAAATTTTTAATTTCAAGTTTACTTCAAAAGTGCCACTTTTTTATCCTTGGGTCTTTTGTTCTACATATTAGACAGAGTTTAGTTAAGACTACATAGTTTATACATCAGCACACAAAGTTCAAACAGGATGGGAAATTTAAACATGAAAATCATAAATATCAAATCAAATCATTCTTTATTCATCATATACAAAGAACATGTATTGAATAGAGTCAAATAACTTATAGACTATAAATACATCTATACAAACATACAAAATTCTTATATACATTTAGTTTCCGGGGTAAATTAAATTTGAAACTAATAAGTATTCTTTTAGGCATGGTAAAAATTTAAACCGTTCCACCAATTTTGTTATGGAGTTCAAATTGAAATCATGTAGGCCTAATTTAATTTATTTTCTTCTAAAGAACCAAATGGATATTAGATTAAAAAATCTTTTAGCATTCTTTAAAATGTATTTAAATTTTCTCCACTCTTTATCAGAGCCGGTAATTGCTGTAATAAAGTTAATCCTGACGAGCTAGTTTTCTTTTAAAAAATTTCTAGTTTATGCCGAGTAAGTTAATTTTGAATCTAGTGTTATTATAGCCACCAGAATTAATTGAAGTGGATGACAATTGAATTTGTTTTGCATAGACAGATATTTCATAAATATACAGATTATATACTGTTAGGATTTGCAATTCTGTAAAATATCTTTTAGCTGAATATCTTTTTTTTTTCAGTTTCATCATTACATGAATAGCCTTTTTTTGTTTGATAAGACTAGAATAGAATCCAAATTGGTCTTTGTTGTTGCTCCATAAATAGATATTCCATAAGATATGTGACTATGCAGTAATGAAAAATATATTGTCCTCAAGGTGTCTATGCTGCAGATTCGAGACATCTGCCTCAAAGCGTATATACCAGAAGTCAATTATTGAACAACATGTTCAACATGATTATTCTAAGTAAGATTTTTACCAATTATCAGGAAATTTAGTTTGTTTAACTTGCTCTATCCTGTCATTTTTCATAAAAGTTATCGTCTCAAATTTTGTTTTGATTGTTTGGTTGAAAAATATAGCCCATAAAATTTGATTTATTTGTATTTATAAGATTTTTTTCTTTTACAAATTCATGAGTTATTAGAAGATTTTTTGAAGATGTTTCAATTTCAGAATTAGAATTTTTAGCGTACAGACACATGGATCCGTCACTCCCAGGAATAGTCCCAGGCAGGAATAGTTTCTAATATAACAAAGAAAGAGTAGAGGGCCCAGGATCGATCCCTGGGGGACCCCATATCGCAGCGTCCGATGCTGAAATTGAATTTTTTTCTTTATAATTTATATCATTATGTTCTATAATATCGTCCACTTCAATAAACTGGTGCCTATTTTGAACATAGGATTCAAACCATTTGAGTTCTTTACCACGGACTCCAAGTTCATTTAAAACTTGTATTTATTTATTGTGTGACACACTGTCAAAGGCTCTACTGAGATCTAAGAATATTCCTACAACCTTTTCCCCTTTATCAATTGCACTTATTATGATGGAGTCTATGAGGCGGTTTGGGAGCTCGGTATTAGTGCTAGTCCGCGACTAAGAACCGGATGTTTCCGGTATTTAGGCTGCCGCCTAGAAAACGAGTTTGGGAGCTCGGGATCAGTTAGGCGCGCGCCTAACTTGTGCAGGGATAATCTCGCGCCCAGCGGGATAAATATTGTTGGTTTGGGAGTCAGGTAGACTTAGGCGCCAGCCTAAGAGATAGTCTCGATGGGTTTGGGAGACCGATTTCGGGACTAAGTAATATATTTTCGTCATAAAAATTAGTGAGTTTAGTCCCCAACTTTAGTCCTGCCAAGGGGCAGGTTTAAGTCAACATCATGCCGGTATTAGCTCATTAGCAAGTTAATTGTTTACATATTAACTAAAAGAATGTTATATTGGAATTCGTTATTAAATTCCGAACAATTTAATTACTCTCAAAGTATATTTGATAAAAGTTTTTTTTTAGGTTTCTGTTGTTCAAAATTACAAAAAATCTTGCAGAAAGCTAAATTTAACGAAAGATTATTTGTTTTTTGTTTTTACTGTTAATTGCAATAAAAAAATGGACCCTAAATAGAATTTATTTCACCTGAGAGTTTGGTTATAAGCACCCGTACCTTAATAAAAAATATTTTATGAGCTAAGAAAATATTAGTGACCGCATACATACACCCCCACTCACCCCCTATGAAAGAGTGAAGAGATAATAAACAAAACATAAAAAAACTGCAAATAGCTCACAGTCATAATCGTTTTATTTTTATTGCGTTGTGATTGAGCTCAGTTCAGTGTCATTGACCAAGTGCTAGTTACATCAAAATGTAGTACCTAGAATATTTGGGGTATAAGAAAATATATACAGTATATCAATAACCCCACCACAGAAAACCTACGGACTAAGCGAATATCCAATAACCTAATACTTTCAATGCAATTTATTAAAATAGCTTTAGGTTTAACAAGTAACTAAAACTACCTACATGTAGGTATGCTGCTACAGTGAGGGCAATAAAGTTAGTTTTTACCAAAATATTAACAGTTTTATATAAAATAAATAAATTTGCCAAGTTTCATCAAAATATATCCATAAACTACTAAACTACAACAGTTCTCCATGAGAATCACTTAATCACATGGGAATTTTTAATTTACGATTTTTTGAATAATCTCTGTAGCCAATAACCGTACAAAACATTTTACTAATTTGTTTTGTATACTCTTTAAAATATTTGAAAGATAAAGATTTATGTTTTAGGGGTTAAAATTGAGAAAAAAACTATTTTTATCCGATAAAACCCCGGGTTCCCATGGTCTGATCATGCTGGTTCACGAACTTATTAAGGTTTATCGTACCTTATACTTTCATGCCAAATTTTATCAAAATCAGACAAAAATTACTCAAGTTGTCACGTTCATGGACGTATATATAATATATTGGCTATACATATACAAACTTTTGAACGAATAGTGTTTTTGGCCTCTAGGGACATCAAAATGGAAAAGTATATCGGTGCCAGAACTAAGTGCTACCTACGGTAATAGCTACTTCCCTATAGGAAAATTAGATAAAAGAGTGTCATGTTTAAAATGTTTAAAATTGACAACAATTGTTTTGTAAGATTAAAAGATATACCTTTGCTTCACACAATCATAACCTCCGCAATTACTTAAAATACTTTTTATTTTTTATTTCCGTCAATACCCATATATTATACAGGGCAATTGCTGTTTAATTTTGAAGCTTTTTATTGCATGAAACGGAGATTCAGATGTTCCTGTTCCACACACAGGGTAATCTTTGTTAAATTTTTTTGATCTCTGAAAGAAATCATATTGATTTTCAGAAACCTATGTTGCTCTGTACGTATTTGTAAGGTGTAGTACCATAGATAAAAAATAGCCGTCATCGAGATGTAAATCAACGATCTTACAAAACAACATTTTTGCAATGGTACAATGCATAAACATACACCATAGTATACTAATTAGCCACCGTTGATATACCAAGATAAAATTGTATCCATCTTCAATTGTTCATCTTTTGTTGTTGTCAACGGTAACGTGTTCTGCAGTGGCCGTTGCCAACGTCAAAACCTGAATTCCCCGCGATTCCCTGTCCATCTAGCTGCGCTGCAACTTAGTCGCGACTATACTTGATCTACGACCATTTCAACTTAGGCGCGAGCTCCCAAGCCTGGTTTTTGGTGCGGGGACTAAAGTTAGGCGCGTCCAACACTAGGCGCGTACTAGCTGGGCTCGAGCTCCCAAACCGCCCCTATAAGTTCTATACCAGCTGTTACTGTATACTGTTACGGCTGGTGGCCATACATTTTTACTCTAATAGTGTAGTCATTTTAAATCAAAATGTCTCCATTACCTAAAAAAAACTCTTATAAGTGTAAAACTTGGTACGTATATTGAATTTTACTTCCGGAATAACATACTAAAAGTCCTCAAAAAAAAACTTGTGCTACGGCCGCCATCTTGGAAAATGGCGTCCAAAAACCAGAAATGCTTTATCGTGATTTAAAACATGTGTTAATGACTTAATATTTAGAAATTAACTTAAAATATTGATTGGAAGAGTAGTATGAGTTGTTTACCATGCCACTTTCAATTAATTGTTGTAGGTAATGACAGTATTTATTGCCACAAAATAATAGAGTCTATAAGTGGCCAGTATACTGTTACTGTAAATAGCAAAAAGCTAATAGGTTTAAATGATTGCTTTGATTTTGAGAAGAAAATAGGATATGAAGATACAGAAATAAAATGTTTACCTTGATTTGGATTCTCTGTAGCAGCTTCATTTTCACCTTCCTCTGCAGTAGGCTGAGGAGATTGTAAAAAAATATTAACATTATTACTTGAAATTTCCAATAGTTTATGATTGTAAGTAATAATATAATATAGCCTATGTATTAAAAAAAAGATATAGGGGAGAAGCTATTAACATGGGTGGCACAGAAAGACCTAGAGTCGGTACCAGTTTATTATAAACACCGCTTTAATATCATGATTGTTTGCAAAATTGATGGAATGAATCTAAGTTTGCACGTTGTATCGAAATTCAATTCATCAAAATCATATGATTTTTACTTGAGTTATGATTCTAACACTTTATATACATTGGGACCCTTGTTGTTTTTAATCTATATTAACGACCTGCCTTTTAACATAAACTCAAAGCTTGTTCTATACGCAGATGACACAACAGCTATATTAAAACCAAACAGCCCAAACAATTAACAACATTTAATAAACCAAACTTTAGAAGATTTAAACAAATGGTTCACAGCAAATGGTCTGAGTCTAAATTGTTCTAAAACTCAAATTGTCAGGTTCAAAACTACTCATGACAGAGAAACCATCGAATTAAATATTAATTTTCAGGGGGAAATTATTAATGAAACGTCATCTACAAAATTTTTAGGTATTCAGGTACAAAACACTTTAAATTGGGATAAATACACATCAGTCCTAGCTAATAAACTAAATACAGTCTGTTTCCAGATGTCTGTCCTGCAGCATGTTACTGACCTCAGAACAAGGATGATTGTTTATTATGCTTTGTTTGTGTCAAACATGTTGTATGGAATAGAGTTCTGGGGCAGCTGCTCAAATGCCGAAACCATTTTCAAAATTCAAAAAAAGATCCTTAGAATTATGACATTTTCAAAGCCTAGGCAATCCTGTAAATTATTATTTAGAGAATTGAAAATATTAACACTTCCGTCTGTTTATATCCTGCAAACATTAATATTTATTAAAAAAAATATTGAATATTTTATGAATGAAAACCATAACCATAATTATTTAACACGACATCGAAATGATTTACAACTGCCCATTCATAGACTTACCTCACTAGAAACCCTTCCACAATACCTAGGGAAAAAACTGTATAATAAACTGCCTGATAATATTAAATCATTAGAATCTTTTGAAAAGTACAAAAAAGAAGTTACCAAATTGCTGCTTAATAAAGGGTATTACAAAGTTGATGATTTTTTAAATGATGTATATATTTAATTTCTTAGCATATTGTATAGTTATTATAGTTTTATGTATTTTAATTGTCCATGACCATTTCACCTGTTTCCCAGCTATGCTGGATCTGTAAAACGTTATGTGAAAATAAATGATTGACTTGACTTGACTTGACATACAAATTAGAACAGAAGGTGTTTTTGGCCTCTGGGAACATCACAACGAAAAAGTAAATCGGTCCCTTGTCTAGGGTCTTACCATGAGACCTAACTTACAGTAGAACAGAACCTCTATTAACCGTCGCCCTCGGGCCGAATAGTGTGATGGTTGAGCAAATAGACAGATAATAGAATTAGCCCTGTTAAATTAGACTTATCGGGTGAAATAATTCACGGAGAGTTGGAAATTTGATTTAACGTTCCTTTTGTTCATTAGATTGAAGAAAATAATAAGTCCTGATGAGTGGGGGTTGAGCTTGGCTAAGGGACTTTTTTTAGTTTTTCGCTTAGGTTATATATTGGAATCTGTAAGTCATATTGAAAAGTGTTAAACACAAAAGTTAAAGCTGACAAAATTCCCTACAAAAAAGACTCCATGCATTTTTTCATAGGACTTAACCACTTAAAGCTAAAGGGTGAAGAAAATAACAGTATATTAAAATTGTGTTTTATTTGCATAGGAGATGAAACAGGCCCGAAAAGACAAAGTCTTATCATTGGCCTCAATGAGCAGCACTATCAAAATTAATGACGTAGTGCATGTGGTGGATCCACTACTCATATCTCAAGAAGTTGCAATATTAAAGAAAAACGACGAGGATCTAGAGGACCTTCTGCTCTACGAGCTGCGTCTTTTCCCTTAGAGCTCTATTTGATAAAAGAGGGATGAAAAAGACGAAAAATTCTTCCTTATACTGTATGACTTTTTCCATGTTCACCAGTTAACTCCAGACCTTAAGTTCTAAATTAATGTGATTGATGGTGGCTTCTTGTTACATCACGTTAAGGGGAGTGTAGGCTCAACTTTCTCGGTTGTAATCAACCAATATGTGACGTACATAAAGAAACACTATGGTGAATTCTGCACTGTTGTGTTTAATGGTTACTCAGATACTGTCACCAGCACAAAACATGCAGATCAGCAACTACGAGCCACAACCAAGACCGTATCAGTCGACATTGATTACACTAAAGAAATGACAGGTACAGGACAGCAAGAAAACTTTCTTTGTTATGACAAAAATAAGACCAGGTTCATCAATATGCTTTCTCAGAAAATGATCCCCGAGGGTATATAAGTCAGACGTTCTGAGGCTAATGCTGATACAACAATTGTGCGGTGTGCAGTGAAAAAAACAGCATTCAGTGGTCATGTTGCTATCATTGTTGGAGAGAATGTAGATTTTATGGTCCTGCTGATTGCATTAGCTTCACTCGAGCAAGAAATTATCTACTTCACACCAGAAAAAAGGTAGCCTTCGTTGAATTACAGATGTGACTTTGCCAGAAGCATATTGTTCATTCATGGGTTTAGTGGGTGATACCACGTCGTCATTTTTTAGAAAAGGCAAGTCATTATAGTGAAATTGTTTGGTAGGGATACCAGTCTCGATACCATCTCCAACATATTTTACGGCCCGACTTTGGCGCAAAAGGAAGTCTCGATAGACAATGAGCGGATGATCTTAGTGATGTACAAATCCCGAGAAAAAGATCTGGACAGACACCGATACATCGCATTCATCAAATCCACCACTAGGCTGAATACAGACCTCCGGTCTCTGCCACCAACGAAAGGCTCTGCCCAGCAGCATTCGTATAGAGTACATTTGCAAGTGCAAGAATGGCTGGGAAATAAACTACCACCAATTGATCGGGGTTGGACAAAGGGCACCGAAGGACTACAACCCCTTACTACCCTACTGTCGGGGAAATAATTATGTGCACTCGAGTTTTAGCTTAAATATCTCTGAGTTGTATTATCTGATTTTGTTGAAACAAAAATAAAATATAAGCTAGTTTAAGTTTTACATGTCGACAATTAAAAAATTATTTGTTTAGCAAAATGATTTATATAATTGAAAAATCTTACAAAGTAGAGGTTTTTAAGAAACTCTGCGCTAACGATGAAGTTTGAAAATTAATTGTAAACAAACCTTTAAACCAATATTCCTGAAATTGTTATGGCTTATTAGTAGGTTTATTGTTATCATTTTCACACATTTTCAAAACTTTATTTAAAATATTTTGTATGCTGAGCTGTTAATTTTTAAAATGTATGCTAAAATTGTTAATAAGAGGCTACAAAATACCATCATGTTTGTCGTGACACAAGAAATAATACAGCGATATGTCAGATTTATAATGCGAACAAAGTTTTTTTTAAGCAAATTTATATTCTCCCATGTCTGACAGCGGGCCGCTGGCCGCCTCGTATTTGATATTTCCTAGCCGGGCGGGAGCGTGTGTGACACTGCGACGTTGCCGATGTCTACCTGGCTACCATACTGACATTTCTACAGTACAGTATTCACTCACGGATAACTACTGTGAATATCATTACATTATCTACTTTGAGTAGATGTTACCAGAGTAAATATCTAAGACGAACTCGCTAGCTTGGTTAGTAATCTCATAGTGACCATAGTTCAAGAAAGGAGGGAGCTCAGCTAATGCCGTAAACTCCATTAGTCATCGAAAATTCCAGCTAACACAACTCTTCCCGGAGATGGTGATGACCTCTCCGACTTCTACTATCAGTTATGTATTTTAAAAGTGGAAAATAAGTAAACCATTAAATGAATACTAAAGGGGAAATGTGTACTTGACAGTTAGCTTTTATTATCTTTTAACTAGCTTACATCAATCAACACGAACAAAACTGTCTTGGTGCTCGTAATACAAACCTTATTTTTTCTTACCACCATAGTTAACTTATCATGTTTTTGTTCCATAATTAGATAATTGGAACAATTTATTATTATATTTCTGTAAATTTCAAAGTAGATAATGAAGAAGAAAAAAAGTCAGTTTGGTAGCCAGGTAGACATCGGCAACGTCAGTGTCACGTGCGCTCCCACCCTGCTGGCAAATCTGTATATTAATAGGCAAGCATGTTTCTTTAAAACCTTTTTTCTCAGCTCGTGTGCATCGCAGGAAAAATCAACGCATACTGTTTGAAAGATATTTTCCTCTAAATGTGCAGAATCCCTTCATAAATTAAAATAGGCTCAAAAATAAGCATAAAAAATTAATTTAAAGTTAAAAAAAATTAACATGGAGCTTATAAATTGCCATGCAGGTGACGAAATAACAACACAATATAAACAGAAAATCAAAACAAATGGAAGAAATTCCAATCACGTGTTTTATTTACATCGTAGGGTGAAAATAGAGAAGTCTGTACATTAAATAGGCTATATTTGGTCGAGTTTCCGACCACTGGACGACCTCTAGTATTGTACAAATACGAGGCAACCTGCTGCCAGCCACAAGAGAAATTTTTGTTTACAAATATAAATCTGTTTAAAAAACATCTTTGTTCGCATTATAAATCTGACATATCGTTGTTATTTCTTGTGTCACGACAAACAAGATGGTATTTTGAATGAAGTTTGTAGCTTCTTATTAACGATTTTAACATACGTTTTAAAAACTAACAGCAGCATAAAAAATATTGTAAAGAAAATTTGGAAAATGTGTGAAAATGACGACAATAAACCTACCAATAAGCCATAAACAATTTAGAAAGATTGGTTTAGTGTAGTTTTTACAATTAATATTTAAACTTCAGCGTCGGTGCAGTTTCTTAAAAAATCTGTACTTTTTACAATTTTTCAATTATATACATTTTTCAACTAAACATATAAATTAATTTGTTAACTGTCACCACGTAAAATTTATTCAAACTTGCTTATATTTGATTTTTGTTTCAACAAAATCAGATAATCCATCTCAGAGATATTTAAGCTCAAACTCGAGTTCACATAATTATTTCCCCGACAGTAGTTCCTGCTACTCCGGCCGCTATCCTCACAACAATCTTTAGCAATCATACAAAGTTGGGGAAAACATTGTGGGTGCCGTAAAGCAACGATCCACTGCTCAACAACGTGTGGAACTGCGAGGGAGCGTGCAATGGCCGCTGTGTTTGTGTTTGTGTTCATGTGATTTTGACGACGTCCAAGCAGTGACGTAGCCAGAATTTCAAAATAGGGGGGGTCGACCGACCGGGCCCATGTAGAAGAGGGGGGGGGGTCCGGGAAAAATTTGAAAATATAGGCCCTAAAACGGTATTTTTTAGCTCTCCTGGCATTGAAAATAATCAAACCCAACGTCAATCCAATATTATTATATAATTTTACGTTAAATTTAACAAAAAAATATTATATTTTGGATCGGAAGGGGGGGGGGTCCGGACCCCCAGGACCCCCCCCCTGGCTACGTCACTGGTCCAAGCGACCGACTGTGACAACAATGCTTTGATTCTCGACATGTCCAACGTGGCCATGACGCAATCGGCATCGAAACCATGGTTGTAGCTCCTATACAACTTTTTTGAGCTGTGGCGATAATACAAGGTAAATAAACCAATATTAATATTTGTCTTTTAAAGCATTGTATTCTACTTCTATAGAGGACAAATGATAGAGAGCTAAGTGACCTATTTTACCTATTCATATTACAAGGTTTCAATTCAAGCTTTCTTACTTCAAGTAAATCCGTGGCCAACATCAGTTCTTCCATTTTAGCAGTTCTTGAAACGGTTCTCCTATAACACACAACAGGATGATGATGATTACAGGTTAATGATTGCATATCACTGAATTGGACAGGTTAATTAAGGCTACAAATAAAAAATTAACAAAAACTCATTAGGGTAACACTTAAATTATACTCCATTTAAGTAACATCTAAGCTCAATAAGTCAACAGTTTACAATAAAAGTCATATTTTTTTCAATCTCACCATTAAAATAAAATCATTTGTAAAATTGTAAGACTATTTTTGTAACCTTAACTGCCAATCACCTTAGACTTTTAGGTCTGTGCAAGGATCTTATAACAGGCTTACAAAGGCTATACATCTATACGCAAGACGTCTCAATTCTAGAGAAGCCTCAGAAGATAGTTGACTTGAGAGAGCCAACATGGGCAGCATAGTCATTCCAGTCTTGTTTGACTGTTTAGCTAGAAACCTATACTTTTACAGTTCAAACCATGCATCAGGGTAATGTTCATCAAAATATTTGTTCCATCTTCCCACTTGGTGATAGTCCTTGTAGTTCCACCAAGCCTCAGGTTTTGATAAGTTTGGTCAATAGGAGAATACATATAGTTATCATACTAAGAAAAACAATGGGTTGGCTCACCGATGTAGCCTAGTATGTTGTTGAAATTATTACCCCCCCCCCCCTTCACTATTGGAGATGTAGGGAAAGGCAACTTAAATGTGAGTTTCCAAGAGTCACCTAGTGCACAAAACCTATTGAAATCTTAACAAATTAGCATGGTATATGATTGCTTAAAATACTAGGCTGTAGGTAATAGTCTTCTTAGTAACTTCTCCCTCATAGTCTTCAGCCCTTAAGACTTCTGCTTATGTAAGTATATAGCCTACGATAGCTGTGTGACAGTAGCTTAGGCTGAAAAGTCATCAATGCAATTCCACTGACTTGCCCATGTTACTTCTACAGTATGGTTGGTCTATGGTGATAGGCGATTGAGATAAAAGAAAAATTTCTCTAGTGAAGACACATTTTTCAAAGTTAGCTAGCCTACCTAAACCAATCATTCAACCTAGAAGCGCTATGTGTCGTGATTGTGGTTATTTGGTTCAGTTTCTAAAGCGATGATTAGTGATGATTAGTGAGTTGTAATAGCGATTCATTTTTAGCATGACACTAAATTGGCTGTAGGCCTAAATCAAAGAGGATCCTAATTATCTATTCTATATATAATTCAGTTTTAAAAATCTTTGTAAAACTAAAACTAGAGTTCTACTGGACTGATTTTATTAATTAATGGGTCGTTGGAAAGCTTAAGTCGTGTAGATTTGCAAATAATTATGAAAGTTTGTTTTTGTTACAATTTATGGTGAAAAATTAAAAAAAAACATGTTTACCATAAGAAATACATCGAAAACGTTCGGTGTTTTTCACACTTTTTATTTGGGTGCGACTTTTGGCTGCCTTTTTTGAGTATTTCCAAGAAGTGCATGGTATCAATTTGTAGAACATTTTATTCTCTTTCAGAATATCACCTTCCACTTTGGTCGATTTCCTCACCATTTAAAAGTTATTTGCAAAAAAGCTAAGCAACCTCCGAATTTATAGTAATGAGAAAATATTGAGTTTGGTATATTTTTGATAAACTTTGAACAACTAAAATCTAGATTTCTACTGGACCGATTTTGTTAATTAATGGATCATTGGAAAGCCTAACTCATGTAGATTTGCAAATGATTATAAAATTGTGATTTTATTAAATATTTGTCGTGAAAAAGTAAAAATAACAAAAATACATTAAAAACTGCTTTTTTCGAGTTTCTGTTTTTAAAACGTTTTTATTAGCTAGCTTTCTTGTCCGGTACAAATTTTGCAATCGATTTTATACTAAGTTCCCGATGAGCTAGAGACTTGAAACTTGAAACATAGCTCACAAATGGATGACAATGCAATATTATATCATTTAATTTTCATATTTCCCTTGGGCCCCATGGGCTTGTTTTTATTAGCTCGCTAGTCGCTTTCCTAAAAAAACGAAGTTCCCGATGAGCTGGAGACTTGAAATTTGAAACATAGCTCACAAATGGATGACAATGCAATATTATATCATTTAATTTTCATATTTCCCACGGGATACTCCCCATGGGCTTCCACATTTTCCATGTTTACATTTTGAAAGAATGTAAACATATCAATTAATTTAAGTCAGCTGTAAATACTTAAATTTGACAGTTCGAAGAGCAAAGGTTAAGAGGTACAGGTTCTGCTCTAGATATATTCTAAAAATATAAAACAAGCATTTTAAAGTAAAGATAAAACATATGATTAGAGATAATAAGGTTTTGGTTTGTTGTATTAATAGTCAAAGGTTATATATATATATATTACCAGACTAAAAAGTTGAAAATAATTTATAATTAACAAACTTTTTTAAAACAAAACGTTTTCAAACGCACTAAAAAGTAGAAAATAATTTATAAATATGTTGAGAGAATAAATACTTGTAAGATTTAAAACGAAAAACGTTGGGTGCATGCAATTAATTGATAATAATACATTGGTTCAATAGGTGAAGGTAATTGTAAAAAATCATCTATTGCATGCACCCCACGTTTTTCGTTTTAAATCTTACAAGTATTTATACTCTCAACATATTTAAAAATTATTTTCTACTTTTTGGTGCGTTTAAAAACGTTTTGTTTTAAAAAAGTTTTTTATTTATAAATTATTAAGATTCTATTTGTAGCCAGCTGCCTTTAATAAGTATTTTCAAGAAATGCATAGTAGTTATTTGTAGTAAATTTTATTCTCCTTCAGAATATCACTTCTAATTTGGTCGATTTTCCCTCCATTTAAAAGTTATTGGCAATAAGCTAAGTGATCTCCAAATTTATAATACGGTAGTGAGAAAATACAGAACAGTAACTAAATGCATCTAACTGCCGCAGAAGAGTGTAAAAGATTAAATGGTAATTATTTAGTATAGACATTAGTAGAAACTTAGTAGAAACATGGCTAAGTGAATATAAGAAATCCACATTTAAAAAAAATTGCCATGATACAAAAACAGAATATTACAGACCCCATACTGTAGGAGGAGGCTTCTCTATTCTCATTAAAAACAACTCTGTAATAAAAGTAAGTGAAATTAAACAAGTTAATTCTTTAAGTGTTGAGGGGGGTAATTGAAGGCTGTTGTTTGCTGGTCTCATTCAGTGATTTCAAGTTTATTGTTTTAAATTTATACCGTCCACCTTTTGAAGAGAGGTTTATTGATTTTCTGGACATAGGGGAAACTGGGGCACAGCGGGCCACGGGGCACAGTGGGCCATAGTTAATATATTATACTGAACTAGGCCTACTTCCAATAAACCAGGTAAATTTTCTTTTGAGAGGTCTCTAGGTTGGTCACACTGAGGAGAAAAATCTAGAGTCTACAACTATTTGGAGGGAAGTTAGAAGCACATGTTTGTTTTTGGTAGTCTGATTGCTGAAACAGGTAGTGTTAAGATATCTTATTTTGGCAAGTTATTGTATATATTAAAAATGAAAATTAACATAAATATTTAGTTTTATACCTTACCAAGCCACTCCACTTTCTTTCTTTCTTTTGTGTATTCATCTTAGTTTGGTGGTAATTAAATCTAACCTAAAAACCAACATTAGCGGCACAGTGGGCCATCTTTGGCGGGGCACATTGGGCCTAGCTCTTGAACAGGACATAGAACGGAAACTTCCAAAACCAATACCACATGGAGCCACATGGCTTCTTGTACTTCTTTGAAATATCATTCCCTAAAGTGATGACTAATTTGAAAAATCATAACTCAGTAAATTGGATAAACGAAGATATAAGGAAAGGACCTTAACTCAATTGAGCTTTTCTATTGATCTTCAATGTTACGGAAATTGTTTGCCCTGAAATTTTGAAACAATCGTCTTTTCACTTTTAAAGATTTTTTTATATCAAAGGACTTTTAATTTTAAAAGATTTTCAATTCTAAAGGGTTGTTAATGTTTGTTAAATTATGTTCATAGGTTTTCAACTTTGTATTTTGAATAATAATGTTTTGTCTCAACATTAAGGCATAATATTTATTCATGGCCCACCCTACCCCATTGTGGGGTAGATTGGGCCATTATGTAAATAGTTTAAACAAAAATTACTACAAATTTTATTTTTCATAAAAAAAATTAGAAAAAAATTGTTAAGATCAATGAAATATGGTACTTTACTATAAAAATATTAGTTTTGCATTTAGTAAAGTCATTAATTAAGGAACGCGGCAGCGTTCCGCCCCGCCAAGTCCCCCAGCGGTACACAGCTGCTGCAGTGTATATATACATGACGTGACAAAGTGGCTTTTTTACTCGTCTATAGCTCTGAAGAAACAAAAGCTATTAAAATAATTGTTCATCCACTGGATAGGGGCAATCATTCTTGGCAAAATAAAAAAAAGAATTTAAAAAAAGGTTGTGTTTGAGCCAAGAAAAACTAGTTTGAAAATTCACAAATTTTCCGTGTTCTCCTTCTTCTCCTTAAATGTTGACGGACCTACAGCCCAAACCACTGGCTCAATTTTAATGTTTTTTTATGTTGTTTGAAAGCCCTTAGCGTGTAGATGTGCCTTTTGAGGGTCACAAGTCGGTGCGTTGACCCATAAACCCTTGGCAAGCCCTCAAAGTACGATTTTGGCCCATTTAAATAACATGGGATTAAAATCAAAACAAAAGAAGGATCAGCTGCGATTAAATCTCAATTAATTTAAAATGTTAGAGAAATTCATAGGATCAGCTGAAAAATTATTTTAAAACTTTTATAAAGTATTTTTTTCAGGTATACCGAATGATTTGAGCTACTTACTATATAAAATTACTTAGAGCAGTGATATTCCCCGATACTTTCCATTGAAAAATGCAGTGTACCGATGGTACACTGGTACAGCAGCTCGTCATTTTTAACAGTTTAATACTACTTATCAAAACATATGAAACCTAGGAACTTGAAACTTAGTACTAGTACTAAGGTTAGTTTTAACATTGTT